TTTTTTTAATAGTTATTTTTTTAGTGAGCATTGAATCACATATATAAATATATATATATATATATATATATATATTTATATATATATATTTAAATATATATACATACTATATACATAGACACTCACACACAAGCATTTGTATGCCGATGGAAGTGAGGTTTGTAAGCAAACTCAACACACGGCAAACAAAATATAATTATTAAGAAACAAACGACAAGAGAAAGAGAGAAATATAAGAAGAAGAACTAGCATTAGCTATATTTCAATCTTACAACCAAATCAACAACAACAACAAGAACAACAACAAAAGTAGGTACACAAGAACAACAACAACAACAACAAAAACACAAACAAACAACAAAGTAGTTTTGCATATCCACACAAAATATTTAAAACAAAACAAAAACAAAAGAAAAGAATAACTGAAGAAAAAAAACCAAACAAAATTACAAAATTATTTAGAAATATATTAGTTTATAGAGCGCAAATATTTTCACAGCCACAACAATACAACAACAACAAATACATATTAAAACCAAAAAAAAAAAAGAAAAGAAAAGAAAAGAAAACAAAGAAAATACTAAAATCTAACAAAAAATACTTTATATACAATTTAAGAGACATCATGAAAAGCGAACAAACTTTATGCACAAACAAAAACAAAAAAAGCAATTTTTTAACCTTCCCAAAACCAAAATGAAAAAGACAAAACAAAAACAAACAAAAAAAACAAGAAATAACAACTATTCAGAAAGGAGAAAACAAATTTTGTGGTTGCTTAGTTCAATTTCAGTGCAAATGTTTTTATTTATGCTTGGCAGTCAGTCATACACACACTCACACACTCACACACACACACACACACACACACACAATGATATATAACAATAGTTTTTAGTTTAATTTTTATACATATAAATATGTTAACAAATTTAAAATATGTTTTCTAAAAACATTGATTAAGATTCATTTCCATTGCGCTTAAATTTAATTTAGCAAATTTTGCCGCATCCAAAAAACGAGTAAAAATAAATATAATAAAATAAAATTAAAGCAAATATTTACACAACAGACAACCGACAACCGACAACCGACAGTTGAGGATTACATTCACTAATACATTATAATAATAAATAAATACATAGCGAAATAATAGTTTTAGTTAACTACGGTTGAAATTTTACGTTTCCTATGAGGCTCATCTTAATTTTTGTTTATTCCAATTTAATTTTTTTCAATATATACATATACATTATATATATATTTATATATATTTTTTTTAATCTTTAACGTTAAGCAATTAAACATCGTACGAATCAAATAAATCACCACACACACACACACACACACACACACAGAGACACACACACACACATACTTACATAGTATATTGACTTTTGAGGCAGCTCAAGCAGCTCATCAAAATAATTGTTTGGCAGTTTGCAAAAGGCGCACAAACCACCTGGCTTTGTGCGCTTGAGGTGAAGATAAGTGTTTTTTTTTTTATCAAGTAGATACATAAGTAGAGTATCAAGAGGCTGCTTAGGATTGCCAGTTGCTTTGAGTTGAGCTTTGATATGGAAATGGAGAGCAAAACGACGAATTGTTTTCCCCCAGCTGTTGAAGAGGTGGCAACCAAAAACCAACAAAACAAGCAAAATCAAAACAACAACAACAAAAATAGCTGCAATACGTTATAATTACGTCAATATGTTCCTAACAATATAGACATACATGCATATTTATAAATTATGATTAACTAACTATAAAGAGACAGGAAGAGCAACAATTTAAAATACAACAATTATTTTAACATAAGCAGATACACACTCACACACACACACACACACACACACACACACAACAGCAGCAGCAGCAGCGGCGACACTACTTGACACAACAGAAACAGAAACAGAAACAAAAAAAAAACAAAACAAAAATAAACAATTAACAAAAGAAAACATTTATAAAAAAGCTTAAAAAAACACACACACACATTATTTAAGAGGCGCGTGACTAAATTCATTTTCATAATTTCTTAAGTTAAGTTAAGTTGTGTTTGTCTTAATGATAACGTATACATATACACATATACATACATATACATATACATACAAGCATAGGCATTATTGATATTATTTTGTAAGCGTTCAACAGGCAACAAAAACACCCATAAAATACTAAAAACTTATTTATTTAGCTGACAGCAAGTTGAAAAACATACACTTTTTGAAATACATATAAATGAAGAGTACTTAAAATATTAACTGCAATTTAAGTTCCATTTCATAGTTTATCTAAGCTAAATAATCATATATATATATATACATATATATATATATATTTATTTATATATGTATATATATATATATACGTATATATACATATATATTTAAAGTTCATAATTTTTTTCGCAAATAAATTGATAAAATGAAACCGATCATTAAATTAACGCATGTTTCACTCATTTCTTACACTCACATTCACACTCACACTCAAACACATCATTAGCATTCGCTTCCTGGCAGCTTTTTGGTTGTTTTCTTTTTTTGAGAGCATCTCGGAGATGATTGAGCAATTAACTCGTCAGTTTTACTCGCTGAAATTGATTTCTCCGCCATTTCGCTGGGCGAAATTGCACCGAAAGCGAATTGTGAATGTTTGAGCTTTCTCAGACAATTTCATTCTATATTTCTAATATATTTGTTAGATTTGTATAACAATTATATCTGGTTAAAATGCCAGCTAAAAAGAGCTTGAGCTTGATTTAAATAATAAATATGAGCAAATATAAATGCAATTCTCAGTTTATGATGAGAGCAGGCGAACAACCAACCAACCAACACACACACACACACACAGAAGTCGAAGGTTAAAAAGTCTATATATATATACATATACATATATACCTACATACCTATATATATATATATAGATATATATTTTTTTCGTAGTCGAAACAAGTCGAATGTAAAACGTAAACCTAAAAACCAACTAAAAGCACTGAGCAACATTTATAGCCAACTCATTTTCGAGTTGTCCAATGCTGAATAATGGAAACAAGTCAAGTACTCGTAATGAATTAATAATAATGAATAATGAATAACGAATAACGAATAAATAAAAAAGAGCAGCTTATATCAGGCACCAACAAATAGACGCAAAACAAGCAACAACAAATATTTTAGATGAACATCTCAATAACTCACATACCTATACAGACACACACACACACACACACGCAAACACAAACAAAGTGGTAAATTAAACATATTTTAGGCGAAACCCCAAAGGCAAACAAAATTTATATAAAATTATTAAATAAAAAGCTAAAAAGTTTATAAACAAAATATTTAAGCAAAGCAAGGCATATCATAGTTTATAAAAAAAAAAACCAAAAACAAAAAAAACAATACGAAGAAACCCAAAATACACACACAGATCAGAAACACACACCTTACAAACACACACACACACCACACCACACACACAGTTAACAGAATGCTCCCAGAAGCAAAAATTGGTTTGTGAATCCTTAAAATTCCATAGTACACCACAAATGAGGCAAAGGCTATCCAAGAGTTACTTAGGATCAGAAATGAAACACACACACTAAACCAAATTAACTTCAAGTATATTAAAAGAAGATGATGATGATGATGATGATGATGATGATGATGCAGATGAGGATGAAGATGAAGAGCAGGCTAGACAGCACTAAGTAAGAAGGCTAACCCAGGAGGACCTTCAGATTACACATACATGATATGATAGATGATATTATATATGATATCATATATGGTCATGCATATAGCCAGCTATCTATATAGACATGCATAGACACCGCAATTTATAGTTGATGAAAGTGTAGCCGTTTATAAAAGAAGAAACCAAAACAGAAACATTAACTAAAAAAAACAAAGAATATGAGCGAGATAAAAAATAACAATACAAAACAAACTAACAAATAAATAAACAAAAGCAAAGAAAGAAAGGGAAAGATAAATGAATGAAACACAACAGAACAACAACAGATGAACAACAAATAAAAATTAAAAAACAAAACAAAAAAACAACAAAAACCAAAACAAGATGAAAAAAGGAAAGTAAATTCTATATAAATAAAACTACTGAAAATAATGAGTACCTGTTTTTTATTGGGCACCACTGAGTATTTATTTAAGTCCATAATTTAATTTAATTGCAATTGCGTTACTAAATATGTTTAGATTTCAAATATGCAGTTCATATTTCGAATCTATAAAATTAAGCCAACAAATTTTACGTTAAGTTTTGTTGACGGCACTGAAATTTCACAACGAACTTAAATATTTTTAAATACCATTCCATCAATGAAACTATCATTTTAAGCTGCATAAAACGTTTTGCAGCCAGATATCTTAACTTAATAAGTAGGTTTAACCTACTTTTACATTTTTCAAGTGAAACACGCAAGAGTCTCCGACAGCCTGGCAACGCTTACGTAAGTACTTCCTGGCAAACCGACAGGGCAACGTCTGCAGCAGCAGCTAAGCAGCTACTAAGTTAGTAGTAGTGACTACATAATGTTCAATGTTTTGATTTGCTAATTTGCTTGTCGATATATATACATATCTATATATATATATAGAGTATAGAGTTAAGAGTATGTAAATAGCGCATTGCATGTTCAGATTGAGGCTTTACTTTGGCTATATTCGCTATAAGCTTTTTCATTTCTGACTCCTGGCCTTTTTGCTACACATACATACACACACACACACACACACACACGCACACACATACACATACACACAGCGAGCCCAAACACGCCCAACCCTCAAGTAGTCTACTCAGCAACATAGCAGCAATTGACTAGACCCTCCTCCCACCCCCAACCCCAACCAATTATAGTGTTAATAGTTTATTTAATGAAAATCTACATAACTACATATATACATATATATACCAATATATATATGCGTATGTGTACATATATATATAACTGATTTGTTTCGCAGCTGCTGCGCAACTTTGGCTCCCCGATGAGCGCAATGGCCGCCAGCCGATGCCCCACCCCCTTTGCGTTTCCATTTACGCCACTCGGTTTGAGCCTTTTCGACATTGATCCGTCCAGAATACTGAGCCTGCTGCACCACCAGACCTGGCTGGCCGAAGAAGCATTGCGGTAAGCATTCACATTCCCCACACAAATATAATATTTACACACATATCTGCGATCATTTCCAAGCACGAAGCACCATCAATATATCGATAGGAAAATCGATTAGTTCGATCGGATCCAGAGCGATCGAGAAGTGGCTACTTCGTACAGAATATATATATGATAAATTGATAGTCAGATTCTGATACTCTTTTGCTTGATAGAACTTTGAAGTAGCCGTGTAAATGCGTATACTTAATGCGTATACTTAATGCGTATACTTAATGCGTATACTTAATGCGTATACTTAATGCGTATACTTAATAGCAAATCAGGAGAACTTGGATGTTTCTTGTCCGATCTTGATGAAACTCAGCATGTTTTAATTAGAAACTTCTGCATTGAAATTGTGGCAGCTATGGCCATCGGAAATTGAATTGAATCGATATTCCAGAGAGTGAGGCAGTTATTGATCAAATAAAGCAAACTTGAACTGCGCCTGGTACTCGAGGACCTACATTCAAAATGATGACCCTGATTAAGAAGAAGCAACAAAGAATTACAAATGCGTTTCACAATTCGCAGATAGATTACCTGATCCTGATTAGCTTCCACACAGTGATGTTGAGACGCATATCAAAGTACTGGTCGCACTCAATACAGCTGCTCCCAACAGTTGCCATGTCCTTTACTTGATCCTCTGCGATATGCGCACATCTTAAAATGTGAGAGAGAAATTTGAATTGTTTGTCCTTCGATAAATGACCATAGATACGTTTGTAGATATGTTTAAACATCAACTAGATATAATTGTAATTGTAATTTGCGTTCCACACACACACACACACACAGCACTCGAGGATTGCTGAGCGCACCGAAGGATTTTCCCCACCGTTTTACCACGCTTAGCGATCTGCTTACCAAGGACTTTCAGCCAACTGGTGCCGGCTTTTCGGCCAAGTCATCGCAGTCCCAGGCGCAGTCCACAACGAACCGTTCCAGCGAAGTACAGTACAAACAACAACAACAACAAACAACACAGCAACCACCAACAGCACAACAACAACAGTCACAACAGCAGCAGCAACAACAACCGCAGCAGCAGCAGCAGCAGCAGCCACTTGCCGCCTTCAATCTGCGCTATGCCACGCCCACTACCAACTTTTTCCAACACTCGAAAGCTGGCAAAACGACAAATGCACCCTCGCCCCAGCAAATGGCGACTTCGTCAACAATTTCGGTCGGAGAATCGCAACTGGAGTCGCCTCAAGCGGAGGCGAAACGAAACAGTGCCAACGATAGCGATGATGTCAGCATTGTGGAGCTGGGCAGCGAACGGAGCGTCGTAACGCCCAACAGCAGTGCATTGCTGTACAAGGAATCCCTCGAACAGCTCCTCGCCCAGCAGCAGCAGCACCAACAGCAACAGCAACAGCAGCAGCAGCAGCGACGTCGCGCTGCCAGCAATAGCACTCCAGGCACGGGCAGTGGATCTGCAGCGGGTGGAGTTGGAACTGCAGCGGGTGGAGTTGGTGCTGGCGGTGTCATCGTCGATGCGAGCGGATTGCGGCAGTATACGAAGCTATTGTTGTCGGGCGCTGGGACGCCCGTCAGCTGCACGGACACATCGAGCAGCTGCAAGGAGAAGAGCTCCTCGTCGTCTACCTCGTCGACGCCGCCGCCGAGTAGTGCACTCCTTGCACAGCATCAGCAGCTCAGCCAAATGCTGAAGAGTCCATCGGACACATGCTCCTCGCTGTTCAGCGAACCGATCGAGGAGGAGACACGCTGCGTCGTCTGCAATGCCCATTTCCCGAACGTTTGGCTGCTCGAGCAGCATGCGGCACTGCAGCATCCGCACATTGGTCCCGGCGATGAGAAGCCCTTCATTTGTGAGCAGTGCGGCCAATCGTATCGCTATCGCAGCGCCTACGCCAAGCACAAGGAGCAGAATCATCGGGCCCGTCTCCCCGCCGACAAGCTCTTCACCTGCGACGTCTGCGGCATGCAGTTCCGCTATCTGAAGAGCTTCAAGAAGCATCGCCTCAACCATGCCCTCGAGCGTCTGCATGGCAAGAAGAGTATTGGCGTCGGCGTCGGCGTCGGCGTCGGTGTTGGCGTTGGTGTGGGCGTGGCAGCAGCACGACAACTGGCAAGTGGTGGAGCAACAGCAGCGGCGAGTGCGGCACAGCAGCTGGAGCAGGACGTGGTGACCAGCTCGCAGGAGCCAATGCTGGCCGACGAGGGCGAAGATCTGCGCATCAATGTGAAGCGCGAGAACGACGAGACAGCCAACCAGCACCAGCAGCAGCACCAGCACCAGCATCAGCATCAGCAGCTGCAGCTGCAGCAGGATGCGACCAGCGAGGAGCATGAGCAGGACAACACTATCGATTCAGCGGGCATCACAATGCTCTACAATGACAACAATTCATCGGCTTCGGCCTCCACCAGCGCCACGGAGCCGAACATTAGCAGCTCCGACGGCATACATAGTACAAACAAGCGGGTAAGTTCCACAAAACTGGATTTGTATTTCGATTATTTTGGATATATGTGTAAAGATTAACCGATTTTGGTTATTTATATTTCAGTCACGCCTGTTGAACAGCGCACACCACTTGGAAACGGATCCCTCCTATCATCATCAACAGCAACACCAGCATCAACATCAGCATCAACATCAGCATCCACATCAGCATCAACATCAGCACCATCACCAACAGTCGCAGTCGCAGCAGCAGCAGCAGCAGCAGCTGCCACCACATTTGGGGCACGTGTCACTGCCAATGGCCAGCGCCGCGGCAGGTTCGTCATCGTCAGCAGCGGCTGCGGCCGTTGTAGCTGCAGCTGCAGCCGGTTGCAATTCGAGCGCCACAGCGAGTGGAGCCGGCAGCACTGCCAACAGTGGCGGCATCAGTTCGCTCAGCTCGCTGACATCGCTGATCAATGCGGAGCGCATACCCAATGAGCAGTTCCTGGGCCTCAATCCGCAGGAGGCTTCTATACTCAATTTTTTGCGTGTCGATGCCGCTGAGCGACAGCGTGACAAGCGGTAAGTGCAACCAGTGCTTTCACTGGTTCAACGAACGAACTAGTTCACAATTCTTTCCTTACCAAACTTCAAATTTTCCGAGGAATCAAGTCAATAATTCCAGTTGCAGTTGCCACTTTCATGTCAAGCATTCAAATGATGATCTTCGAATTTCCACATTCCACATTGTAATCGACTTTTTAATGTATATATTTGAGTATATATATATATATCTTCTTGTTCATTTCATTGATTTTGAAGAGCTCATGCTTTGAGCTTAGAAATAATATCTGAATTCATGCCAAGTACAAATCGTATCCCATTAAAAATGGGGAGTGGCAAAAAAGTGGGCAACAGGCAGAAGGAAGCATTTGCAACCCCATAAAATATACATATTTTTGGGCAGCCAATACAATAAAGATCGATCTATCTATCTGCATCAGCCAACCGATGTCAGAGACTATAAATCATACAATAAATAATAATAAAAGACTCGCAATTCAACTGTGCAAATCAATCAAATCAGTCATTAAATGCAGGGCATCGCCTAGTCGAGCTTTCTAAATTGTTTCTTTCTTTTGTCGTTGTTGAAAATGTGAAGACAAACAAAAATTAATATACATTTTTGAATATGACTTGCAATTGCAGACCGGCAACTTCACGCTTCGCGTGCCCCTTTTGCGGCAAGTGTGTGCGCTCCAAGGAGAACCTCAAGCTGCACGTGCGTAAACACACCGGCGAACGTCCGTTCGTCTGTCTGTTTTGCGGCCGAGCTTTTGGTGGCAAGTCGGACTTGACGCGTCACCTGCGCATCCATACTGGGGAACGGCCCTACCACTGCGAGTCCTGCGGCAAGTGCTTCGCCCGTGCGGATTACCTGTCCAAGCATTTGACCACCCACATACACAACGCACCCCGCTGAGATGAGGCGCGTAGGAGGCGGCTCCTACGCAGATAAGCTAACAACCGCAGCAAAAGCATAGAGACAACACACACACACACACGCACACACACACACGCGCACACACACGCACACACACACACACACTACACAGACACCACAATATAAGATGAATATAAGCAAGATGAAAGAAGCACCACTCAAAAGAGAAAACACCCAAGAGGCATAAGTTACAGGAAAAACATGTGGAAATTTATGTATAGACCTATTTTTACTACCATTATTATTAGATTTACGCAATGAGAAAACAAGTGTCTAACATGCATATATTTATATATCATATATGTTTTTGTTTACTTTTTTTTTTAGTAGTCACAACGTTCGAATTTTATTAGATGTGAGCGAAAGAAACGAGGAGCGAGTAGCGAGAAGCGAGTAGCGAGAAGCGAGTAGCGAGAAGCGAGTAGCGAGAAGAAGATACTAGGAACGGTGCTGAGGTACAGATAAGCCAGGCACAGATATGCCATAGAGCAATGTGTGTGTGCAGGCTATAAATTGTATCTTATTTTATTGCTATTACTATTAATATTACAATTTTTTTTTTTTTTTTTTTTTGCATAACTTACAACGTGTAAAAATTAAAGATTGGCAACTATTAGCACGGGTATGAATGTGTTTAAGATTTGAAACTAAAGCATAAATATTGTAATTAGTAAAAGATTTTTTTTGTTCTTTGTGTATATTATATATCCAATTATTATATGGTTAAGTGAGGGTTTTTATTAAGAAGCATATGTGAGTACCAAGTACATATGGGGCCTAAAGAATTTTGTTAGGTTTTATTGAATTTCATTAGTTCTGGCAGCTGCAAGGCAACTTACTATAAACTACTACAACAAAATGCAATATAAAATAGTCTGTTTTTTTTTCTCTAATAATACAACAATCACCAAGTACCGTTATCTGCCGTTTACCTAATAGCGTAATACATAAATACTAATTATAAACAATAATTTTACACTTATTTAGTTAAACGAAAGCACAACAACAAATAAATACAAAAAACTATCGTACAAAAGCAGTCAAGAAGTAAACGAGTTAAACTCATAGCTGGGACAAAAGGACGAGACAAGTTGGCAGTTCCAAAGCAGAAGAAGAAGACGACGAAGAAGTTGTAGAAAAAAACAAATAGCGGATTCCAGCGAAAGCAGAAATAAAAATGGAACGCAGGACATTAAACATTGAACAGTAACAGTTACAATAATGCAAATTGGTTTTAGTTTTGTTAGCAACAATTATTTTGTTATTACAGCTAAATAATAATAATTATGAACACGCAGACATAGATAAAAGTACAGATACAGATACAGATACAGATGAAGATACAGATACAGATACAGATACAGATACAGATACAGATACAGATACAGATGGACAGGAGAAGGGAAAGGGAAATCAAAGTATCACAGAGGCAAGAGACAAATGTAAACTAAACTAAACTAAACAAAACAAAACTACTTACAATGTGTACTATATACATACATACATACATACATACATCCATACATACATACATACATAATATGTATATGGAAATAACTTGTTTAACTGTTTTAACCGTATGTGCTAGCTGAAAGCAAACAGACAACAAAAACAATACAGATGAGAAACTTATTATTATTTATACAAACAAACAAACAAACAAACAAACAAATAAACAAACAAACAAACAAACAAACGACATATAAATTAAAAGCAAAGCAGCAAAGCAAACAAAATGAGGCAAACCAATTTGTATGGAATGATGGGGTTAGGGGGAATTAGGAAAACTTGGGGGGTGGGGTGGGGGTTGGGGGTTGTGGGGGTTGAGGCAAGCTAGAATTACAAATAATATTTACTTATGTGCAACCACCGTCAATAGTTTAATTATTACAAACGACAGCAACAAATATACAAGAAATAGTAAAACAATATCTAATTACAATAGAAATACAAATAACAATTACGATTACAATTACAACTACAATTACAACTACAATTACAATTACAATTACAATTACAAATACAAAACATAAGCAAACGTTTTTTTACGAAACAACAAAACTACAACAACACAAACTAACTGTGATTCCAGCAACAACAAATAACAAGTAACAATTACTTACTTACAACTTACAAAGAATATAAAAATCAAAAACTAAAACGAAACAAAACGAAACAAAACAATAGCAAAGCTAATTACATTTAACAATAACAATAACAAACAACAACAATAGGCAAATTGAGGGGGCAAAGCTGCCCACAAATTTCGTATGTAGAGCGAAACACGTGCAATTTTTACAATATACTTGAAGACTAATTATTTGAATATTATGCCTAAATGCTGCTTCATTTATTGTTATTGCTCATTTCTCTAGAGATGCAAAAGGTTACCACCAAATAAATCACACAGACATAACATGCCACATGAGACAACAACAAAAAGAAAACAAGGAATACGAAAGAAACACACACAAAAGAAAACATAAACAAAAACAGCACAGATACAATAAATAACAAATAAAAAACAAACAAAATAAAAGGATACAAGTAACAAAACTTTGAACCAAGAACATCGAATTAATTGTAAATGTAGTTTCAACAACAAGCGGGAAAAACATCTGCGAGAAGTTATATACAAAGTATAGACCTACATACACAAGTATATGAAATAACTTTTCCATACATATATATACATATATATATATATATATATACTGTATATGCATACATATATATATATATTTATATATATTATTTTTTTTTATAAATGTTCTAGCCTAAAACAAACAACATATTTGCCGTACCAAAAAAAATGAATAACTAACAGAAAAAAAAATGAAAATAAATAAATAAAAGAATGTAAAAAGAAATCCAATTAAAAATAAATCCAACGTAAATCAACAATTTAAACTATCGTCAAGCAGAAAAGAGAACTAACACACATTTAAAGTGCTAGTAGAAAAGTTAAAGAAGAAAAACTTTCACTGTGCCAAAAAGTTTAAAGTACCTCATAATTTAAATAAATATTAATAAAGAAACAAACAAAAAATACAACAACATAAAGAAAACAGAAACTTGCCCCACACCGTAGTTAAATTGAAAGTGGTCATAGTTAAATGAAAATGAAAATGAAACAGAAAATGAAAATGAAACAGAAAACTACTAATACAATTTTAAACAAACTTACATAATGTCCGATCAAAGGCTTACAGATCCCACGTATGAGAACGTAAAAACAGTCAAAAAAAGAGAATTACCATTGCCACAAATAATTTACATACATATATATATGTATACACATATATGTATATGTGTGTGTGTAGACAACCAATGTCAATAGAATAGAAGCTACAAGCTGCTGATAACTAACTAACTAGCTACTTACAATATACCAGAGGCAACCAGAGGCAATATTTTAGGAGCATAAACCGCATGAACAATTTTCTTGATTTTTTTCGTTGTTATAAACAAACTATGTTAGCATTAGTATAAGATTGAGATTTTCCCATGAAACTACAAGTAATTTCAATACACAGTCACATCCATCCATCCATCCAACCAACCAACCAACCAACCAAAATGTATCATTTATACCCTCCAAGTCTTTGGTTCATCCATTCGCTGTCTCTCCAAATGCAAATAGTGTTCAGTTATAGTAAGATTTTGTGATAGTTCAACATGATTCTGTGCACAGTTTTGTATTTCTTTCTTATTTATATTTACCCATCTACAACACCACAAAAGACAAATCTTGACTATTTGTTTTACAATTTTTGTATTTTTTTATTTGCCTTTCATATTGATTTAAATAGTTTATTTTTATTTTTTTTTGTTGAGTACGTTATAAATAATAATTATCAGGGTCTCTAGCAAATGTTATAGTTTTAAATATATTTTATAATACTTACATAATGTCATTAAATGCATATTTTCTATATTTTTGTATTTCGTTTGTTTACCAGCAATTTTCGATTTAGTTTCTATCTACGTATTTCAAAAGCCAATGTTACTGCAACAACAACAACAACAAAAACACTGCCTTTTATTACAAAAAAAAAAAAAGAAAATGAAAATGAAAATGAAAAGAAAAACAAACCACAGAAAACAAATCAAAATCTTTCTACCTTTAGTATACTTAATATTATTTCAATTTTCTATTTTTGTGAATTTTATATGCATCACAATTGCAAAGTTTTCAGCACTTTTAAGTACTATATTCATTTTTTTTTTTGTATACAATTTTATTTAATATTGCTCAAGCTACTCTTATTTTATTTTACTTTATTTGATAACGCAAATATATTTATATTTAATTGACAACAACAACAACATGCTGTGAGCTATGTATGTGAACTTTGATTTTTTGTGACAATTATAATATTTAATTATTATTATTTTATAGTATTTATTAATAAAGTTTTTTTGCATTGAACACTTGTTACTTGTTTTCATTATTTTCAGCAGAGAGCACTGAAAAAAATAATAAAAAAAGCATCTCTTTTAGCGTATTTAAATTGATTTTTGTTTGTAGGAAAAACGCGCCTTAAAAGAATTTAGCAAGTTAAGGTAATAAGTTAAAGGGAAATTAAGAAAGAAAACAACACCAACTATAAGATTCCACGTCACTAAGGGCATACAACTAAACATAGGTAAGAAATAAAGCAATATTAACAAAATTCAAATATAAAATGTAAGTCATTTTTCCGATCATATAAAACAAAAATCAAAAAAACAAAAAACAAAAAACAAAAAAACATTTGGTGTGTGCTAAGCTAATGGAATTCAATTACCACATAAATGTTGAAAACTAAACTAAAACAATGAAAAATAATATAAACTTATAAATAGAAGAACAATTTTTTTTTACCACAAAATGGTGGGTCGTCTGAAGAAGAAGAAGACGAAGAAGACGAAGATGCGAGCAAAAGCAGAAAATCATTTGTAAGCCATGCAAAAATAAAAACCAACAAATTGGAGGGATTCAAGACTCTTATTTCATATATATACATGCATACAGAGTTATATACAGATACATATAGGTGTGTATATGGATTTACCATATATATATATGTACATAATATATGTATGTGACTTACGAGAAAGTTTTTTTAAGCATAAAGCTAAACAAGGCATAGTCAAAATGCGGGAAATAGGTGTAACAAAAATATTACAAAATCCAACAACGAAACTTTTGGCATTAAATCAATGCATTTTTAAACAATATTTATTTATATATACATACATAGAGTTAAAACAACAACATACACACACACTCATACATGCGAACATTACACATAC